GGGGGGGGGGGGGGCACGAGAGGTCATGAGACAGGATATTCCCGCATACCAACGTCACATCATTCCAGAAAAAGCTGCGACGGGTCATGTCTATGGGGGTTTGCCGACCAGTCTCGCAGGCGTGTTTTCATCAGGGGGGTTGGTAAACTTTATAGTCTTGGGCGCCTTCATCTAGTGTTGCGACCGCATGTAGACCTCACGTGGTGTGTCGAGCCTCGACCTCCTCATCGAACACGAACCGAAAATCGAGCCATCTGCAGCACCGAGATAGAGAGCCCTAGACAGGGGACGAAAGAAACACGGGGCCCAACACCTAGGTTTTACTATTACCACACTAAATCCCATACGGGTAAACGCCTTGACCAACTGGATCAAAAGCAAGTCGGGGGGGGGCAGGACGTCAAAAATCCCTCCAAACGTACCCTCTTGGAAATGTACACCGGGCCCATTCACCAGACCTCCCATTCATGCGAGGGCCGACACCAGACCACAACGTAGTCAGCGCTGACTATTTAGTCCAAGTGGTTTAATTCCGGCTGTGTATACTGTAGACCGCCTTCGTTACCTCCTGCTTGTGTTTCCTGTTGGACTCGGAACCAGACGTCCGAGCGGATGTCGAAGAGGGTTCGCAGTAGCACCGCCGCCATCGCCCTGAGCCCTTCGCCGACCTCACCGCCGTCCGCCTGGCCGAGCACAGCGCACACTTGCTCCAGGACCTGCCGAAAGAGAAAATTAAGAATAGTGTACAAGGGGGTGCCAAGATCAAGTGATCGCACAGCTCTCGACGAGACTGTTCCAACCCCGCCACCGCCTCTGCCGCTTGCTGCAGGGCAATCGAGCTTTGAAAATCGTTCCATGAGCCTCTTCTACACCACTTAAAGAAACTGCTCTAGACCCTCCCGATAACGCTACTGGTGGAAGAAAGCGCAAGTGTAGGAGGGGGAGTCCACAGAAGGTGGCATACGGAAGCGGGTGTCGAGACACACTCCCGTGTGCCATCTTCGATTGACTCGCTCTCCGACACTTAATCTTTCGACGAGAGCAGAGATGATCCGGAGGGTCTAGAGCAGAACAAGTATAGTCCACGCTCATGCCACCGTTCTCGCCAACGCGGTCAGTACAGCCTCTGTTCCGCAACAGCGCTACTGCTATCAGCAATGTACTGCTGTAGAACAAGCAGGCCGGAATTTGCGACGGCGCGCAAAGGATCGCGAATGATAGATATGGACCCATATTTTTGCGGGCATTTCGGACCGCGGCAGCAGCGCTCGCCAGTAAGGCAACCGCGACAGATCTGGATGCACCAATGCGCATGCCGCAGCCACATGATCTATACTGCGACATGTGCAAACGTCAGCACTCGGCGATGTGATGGATCGATTTGAGCACCCGCCTGTATTGTCTTCAATTTAGAGTTACGGGACTATTGTCTTGATTTTAGACAAGGTGTGTGGAGGTGGACTGCGTGTTACATTCTGGTGAAGACAACTCCCAACCGCTGCGACAAAAAGATTTCTCCCTGCAGAGGGAACACTGCCCAACTGATCTTACGCCGCTCGTCGGTGACGCCTGGGTGCTCGTCGGTCATTCTCGGACCCAGTCGAACAATCAAGATCGGTCTTTCACCACACCATTGACAATACCAGCAGGTGACATGACGTAAGACGTCACCCCGAGAACCCTCACTCCGCGCAAGGGGGATAATCGCCCCACGTTGTGTTAAAATTAGTCAAGCACCCTTGAGGCAGATTCCGTACTTATAGCTGTCTCTGGATGAGAAAGCACCAGAAAAAAATCAAGTCATTCGCAGCTGTCATCCGTACGCAAGGAGGATGATGCCGAATACCGTTGGCAGGATGAAGCGCACCCTTCATGCGACTCGCCGAATACCTCACGGCGCTTGACGCTTGGTGATGTGAGAGCATGGTCCGGTGAGAAGCCGGCGTGCTCCGTCCCGGCATTGCAGGAATACGAGGTCAATGGTCTAACGGCTACGGCATGCACGACTATGAGTACCCTTTTTCCCATGGACCGACTTTCAAAGCTCGAGTATTCCACACCAGAAAGAAACATTAACATTGGCATTACCAAACACGGCGGCGGTTCCAGAACTGTATCGTGGAGAGCTTTCCCACAACGTATCGTTCGGTGAATGCATGCTCTTCCTTCGTGGAGTTGTAACTAAGCTTGGCAATAGGGGGTGTGATATCTCGCGTCACCCACGGCAAGGCGGTGCTGTTGGGACATGTATCACACAGAGCATTCAAGAAACGAGGCTCGGGCACAGTAAGAGGTTCATAGGGTGGTCGCGAGCGGTACAACACCATTACAGTGCACGCATGAAACGGACTCTCCTACATTTACACATTTCGGCAGAGCATTGAAGACGGCGACGTAATGAGAAGTTTTTTCTCCTTAGTGAGGATGACCCAACGAATCCATCTCTAACCAAGAAAAGAGTCCAAGATAGATTAGCAATAAACAAATAGCGTCAGCGAAACTCCTGTTTCTCCACGATTTCCCTAGCAGCACACAGCAGTGGATTCTCCCCCGTGGGTAACGTTCTTGCCCGTGGGTAACGTTCGCCCGTGGGTAACGTTCTCCCCCGTGGGTGCAGTGGGGGCTACGGTTTAAGAGAGCTCAGTGTAAGAGAATTGCCGATTAAGAGAGGTCAAAATTGTTAGACACACCCCTCTCTTAAACCGAACCCCGAATCTCTTAAACCTCTCCTAAACCTCTCTTGAACCGAACCTGCCCCCCCAACCCCCCCCCCTATAGCCCACCAGCTGCCCCCCACGGCAGCAGCTCAAGCAGCTGTACAGCAGTAGGCCATCATAGCTAGCGAGACACACAGCTCCCACGGATGCCTTGCGCCGCGGTTCCCGCTGCCTGGCAACGCCGGACCACACACCCGCCCCCCCGCTGTTTACGAACCACCAATGCCGTGTCTGCGGAGGCTACCTTCATGGACAGTGCGGTGTGCATGACCCGCTTGGCGACAACGAGATGCACCGTGATTGCCACGGATGTGTCAACTCGNACCCCCCCCCCTATAGCCCACCAGCTGCCCCCCACGGCAGCAGCTCAAGCAGCTGTACAGCAGTAGGCCATCATAGCTAGCGAGACACACAGCTCCCACGGATGCCTTGCGCCGCGGTTCCCGCTGCCTGGCAACGCCGGACCACACACCCGCCCCCCCGCTGTTTACGAACCACCAATGCCGTGTCTGCGGAGGCTACCTTCATGGACAGTGCGGTGTGCATGACCCGCTTGGCGACAACGAGATGCACCGTGATTGCCACGGATGTGTCAACTCGAGCAACCGCAAGGAATCAAGCACAGACTCGACTGCTGGGGCTGCATCTTCGAAGCGCCCCTGCCCGGGCGGGCGGGCAACGGGGAAGGAGAAGCGGGCGGGTGCACTGGGCAGCTTGAAACCCGTTGGCAACACCGCACGTAGGAAAGTTCGTGGCGCCGAAAACATAGACTCCGACGACGACGAGGCCGACTCTTCGGCGGGAGACGAGGGACAGTGTACGCCGCCCCTGTTCTCTCCTCGTCTGCCACCGTACGCTGACGTATCTAGGCAGTTCGAGACCTCGAAGAAATAGCAGAGAGGTGCAGCATGGCCGGGGTAGCTTACCATCTTCGCAAGGCGAAAATAGCCTGGATGAGCGAGGCTGGGTCAAAGAAAACGAAGCAAACATGCATGGCAGACTTCATGTGAAGTTGCAGAAGCTGCCCACAGGCGATGTTCATGGACGTCTGTTGTTGTTTTTTTAAGGGTAGGGTGTACTACTTGTACTGCTGTAGGTGCTTGAGTCACTCGTCTTGAGTGTTTAGTGTGTGTGATGCTCACGTCTCAAAGTTCTGTTGGCAGCTATCCTATGATATGCACTGCTGTTTGTCGAGATGAGATCGGAGTACACCTTGGAGACCACGTAATAGTTACATCGGTTGTGCTTCGTACACAACAAGCAGGAGGGGTCACGCTTGGTGAGGGCCCTATAACGCACGAAAATATTGTGGAAAAAAAAAAAAATACTTTGCATCACTTCCATCATGTTAGACCCTGTTAAAAGACATATAATCGGTCTAAGAGAGGTTTTCGCTTAAACCGAACGTACGGATTAAGAGAAAACCTCTCTTAAACCGTATTAAGAGAAGGTCGTGTTTAAGAGAGGTCTTCTGGGTGATGCACACCCCTCTCTTAAACCGTAGCCCCCACTGTATATGATCTACGGTACCTGGCTTCGACGACCGCCAATCGATGGCACGGCTTCTGCGTGGTTTAAACACAGCTCCCGGTCATGCACAGTAGTGTGCAGCAATTTTCCACACGTGAATAGCGATAAGCACGTGGCGCCCATGCNTAACGGGGTCAACAAGACAGTTTGGTAGCCGCCTTGTCCATCTATCTGTATGCTATGCTGGGAAGGTGTAGAAGGGAGGTGATGGGTAGTTGGTTCGGCGGGTGTGTGAATGCGGGCTCCCTTATCTGGCATGGGATGGCGTGTATTGTTAGCAGGGAATTTCAGGGTCGTGTGTGTGAGGTTTTTATCTCGAACGGGTGTAGCCTTTCTGTGAGGTTATGTTTACTTTGAAAAAAGGTACCTTTGTTTCAATGGGTAGGAGTGCACGGGACAACATTTTTACTCCCAACAAGTCTTTAGATGAACTCGTTGCAAGCAGCGGTGCACACATCCAACGGTACATTGTGCAGCATCGCTAGCATTAATTAACTAGACAAAATCTGTTGCTGATGATCGATGCGGCCGAGTGCTTTTGGCGGAATACACCGCGGCAGTTGCTTGCCGTTGGCTGGTCTGGTGCTGCTGCATGTACTGCTGTAAGAAGAGGACCACCACGATCAGCGATCAGCGTGGTACCACATAACATGAAGAATACCACCCCGCCCCTGTCGACGACCGTCGGCTGATTTTCCCGCAAACACACAACGAAATTGCTATCTGCACGAGAAATTCTTGTGCAGCATCATCACAGCAACAGCATCAGTGATGCTGTCTCGTGCTACGCCGCCCGTCCCACATACATGCGACACCTTCCACTTGATTTTTTTTTTTCTCCCATCATCGGATTCTGTCGTCTGCCCCTCTGGCCCCTACCCTCCACTTCGACTAGCTAGACGACCCAACTGGGGTCACATGGGAGGGGGGGGCTGGACCTCCTCCTGCGGTTCCTGCCTGAGGTATTTTTATCGCGAGGAGGGTGCAGCACCTTCCACTTGAATATGTCGGTCGCGCTTGCCCACACAACACGAACACACCTGATCGGGGAGCCGCATTTTCATGTCTTCCCAAGCTTGCTCCGCTCTCCGCCTCACGCCATTGTCCGGGCTCGTGAACGCGCCAAGAAGCTCGCCAATACCCCCCGCCGGAGGGCCAGACGCCATTCTTACGAGAAGGGGCCTTCGCAAGCGTCGCGGCTGTGGCCAATGTTCTCGCTCTCTATGAAATCTCCAATTTTGAAATTCTTGGCAGCGTACCAGTCCCTGCTGCCGGAGTCTGTTACTATCGTAGAGAAGGGTGGACTCGTGTGTTTGTGCTCGACTATTTCTCCTACAGATAAGGGTGTGCACTAAAGGATACGCGAGCAAGACAGCAGTGCACGGTACCACGACACCCGGTTCGCTAGTCGCAGGCACAGGGGAAGGTAAACTTCTGGCAGCGTTGCAACGCATATTGGCATTTGGGGGGTGGGGCACGCGGATGGATGTGGGATACATACACAGTACCTCATATTCAAATTTCGCATTCGGCAACACAACACGGATCCTTTTCATTAGCTGCTAGGGATCATGTGTGACTGGTATACCTACCAGCTGCAGTCAGCAGTTAGCGCCCGCATTAATGTATTGTAAGAACGTCTTATTTTGGACGAGGCTCGTTTGTTGTTTGGAAGTGTAGAGTGTTTTTTTTCTATGGGGTGTATGTACGCCGTGACATTGGATATGTTCAGAGAAAAAGAGCACCCACCTGTTCTTGCTGCTGTATCTTGCCTGGAAAGCATTTCATTCCAGGCGTCCTTCGTGGTCGTGTCGCCCGGTTTGCATGCACCGCTGTTACGAGCGTATAGATTTTTCCACGATTTCCCCCTCTCTTCATGCTGCCGAACCGTTGCCGCCTTCAACCCTGCCCCATTGCCAGTGACCCATGCTTGATTGAGGAGGTGGATTGCACCGCCAAAAAAAAACGGGAGGCTGCGTGCTAAGCATGCACGCGACTGCTGATACACCGTATCCTCATCGGACGGCCACTCTGTTCCTGGCAGCGCTGTGAAGACGTGTATTCGTTCCGGAGAGCACAGCCGCATGGCGGTCTTTTCTTCACCCAAACACTGATAGAGTACTTCTACGAAAAAATGACACCGTTCCAATGACGGTTTTCGCCCCCCACAATTACTCCGCCCATCTAGCCATCGACGGCCACAACGCCATCATGAGTCTCGACAGCAGGGTGTGGGGGCTTCTTGCTCTTTCGGACGAGGTCTTGGTTTACAACGTTCTGTCGCTCGCAGCATGTATCTACGTGGTGCGTGATTCAATTACCCACCTGGCGCTTTCTTGTCCGAAGCGAACGAGCCAAGACATCATTGTAGACGACACCGTGTTGCCGGTGTCTGATCATCCTTCTTTTACGTATAGTCGTTGGCGTAAATTGTCGACAATTTAAAATGTCAACCCACCCAAAATCTGTCCTTTACAGAGCAGGGAAGGGAGGGCTCTACTCACACAACTACTCGGTAACTCTGGAATCTGTGGTACATTCACCTTAACCTCGCTAAAAGCAGAACGAACACGACTACCTACCTCGCCTACCTACCTACCAGGCAGGGCGCCACAAAACAAACTCTAGAGGGGGGGGGCTCCTCCGGTAATACTCTATCTACTGGGGTCACTACAGCGCTACCACTACAAAAGCGTCAGCAAGACGCCCGTGTTGCATCTTTCAAACCATCGGCACCTACTAGTACATCGGGAATTCACGGTCTACCGTCCTCGCCCACTCCGTGAGACCCCCCGAAACATCCATCACGTTAGGAAAACCCTTCTTGGCGAGGATCGACACGGCGGCCTTGGAATCGACCCCCCTGCGGCAGATGCAGTACACTGGCAGAGAACGGTTTTCACTGAGTGTTTCCACCTTCTCCATGGAGGCCTGCATTTCGGGCATGTGAGCGAAAACGCGCGAGGGTAGGGGGGGTGTTTTCATGTTTTGCATGCCTTAGTCGTTAGACCATTAACACGAGTCTTCAAGTAGAGGAGGGATGAGTAGTATTTCAGCCCGCTGCCCACCCACCCTGCTGTCGATCGGCCATATTTTGTTGAGATTCGACCGAAAGAGGTTTCAAGTGGAAGAGGCGCGGAAGGTGCTCACACCAGTATCGGAATGATATGATTGGTCGTGGGCTGGACGAGCGACAAGCAGCATGGTATCTCGTCATCCAGCCCAACGGGACAAGGCGCTAAGATCAGAAACTTCCTGCAGAAGAGCAATGCTACTGTAGGGGGGACACGTTTTAAGACATGGGTCACATGCTGTCGCCCGATAATGTCCATATAAATGCTCGTAACTCTCTCAATTTTTGCATTTCAAGGAAATCAATTCTGCCCAGGCAGCCGCCAGGCGTATATCTCGCGGTGTGCAAAATAATAAGCATTTTTTCCATTGGTTGAGGCAAAACACTCCATGTGACCGAGAGGGTACCCCCTATCATAGCATCCCTCAGAACACGATATTTTTCCTGTCGAAATTTCATGATTCCTGGCCCCTCTCTGCCACACCTCTGTCTCTCTGCTGTTGCATTGAGCCCTCGTGCGTGCTATTTAATCCAAACCTTCTTTTTTGCCGCGGGTAGAGTTCAAGTTCCCGTGGACGCGCAACAGTGCATGGAGATCACTGATTCCTGTCACATTCCGTACACTAGGGGTCCCTGTTTAGTGCCGGTGTCCGGTAAAATTGCTCACGTTTTCGGCCAGTACACTAATTTCCAAGTCATTCTCAAAACCTTGACTAGTACCGGTCCGGAATAGTGCCGCTGCATTTTCTGGGCACATATTGGCAACAAAAAGCGATCTCTACTGTACCTCTCTGAAAAGGAAAGTTCCACACAAGAAAGTCTTGCGTGTTCCTGTCTTTTCCTCATTCTCATGCCCAGGCCACACGTCGCACCTCTAGCTGCGACAGCGGCACGTTGACGGCGTCGTCCAAGGCGCAAACCGCGAACTGCACCCCGACGCGAACGTCAAGCAGGACATGCCTCCGCCCACCGGCCACAACGTCCGCGTATTCCTGAAAGGGGGCACAGGAGACGAAGAGCGGGCGGGGGGCGTGGGAAACGGGGTCGAGATTGACCTTGAACTATGACTTGATGGTTTGTGCACCCTCTGGGTAACGCGATCTTCAAGTGTTGGAAAAAAATTGGCCTCGCATTCGGGCAAGAGTGCCCCAGTTCGGTATGGGTCTCTTGCTCGTCAGCAGCACCGTGATGGAAGATTCGGGAGAGTCGACGACGGCCCGGCTGACCGATCGGCCATGCAGTCGGACAACGAAACGAGTAGCACGCCTGTTGCTGTGTGTCTTCGCAGTGATAGTGGCACGCGCCGTTAATGCTCCCGGCCATCCCCAATGCCAAGGTTCGTTGCAAATGCGGTAAACTTAGGGGGAAACATTGTACGATACATGCCCACGAGCCCACGAGCGTTTGGGGTAGGTTCCGGGGCTGAACCTACTGGCACGGAAAAGAGTTGGCAGAAGTAGAACACAAGAGGTAGCAGACGACCAAAATAGGCCGCAGAAAAGAACAAGAACAAGAACAAGAAGGAAGAATTTTTCGGCACGGTGCATACGAGAGCTGCAGCGGATGTTACCTACGAGCTTACAGACGCACCTGGCAGGTAGCGGTGGGTACGCGCTCCATCTCTGGCACGACCCTCGCCACCGTCAGGCCGTGCTTGGCGGCGAAGGCCTTGCTTCCCTCCATGCTCCGTACGGTGGGGTTGTCCCCGCAGGCCGCACACGTCTTGGACCTGAACAAGGCAAGACCATAAAGAAAAGTGCGTGGTTGGAGGAGAGAGAGAGAGAGAGAGAGAGAGAGAGAGAGAGAGAGATGAGCTTGGGGAAAGTGGTCACGATGAGTATAGTCTCCGTGAGAGGGAGATGGAGGGCGAAGGCGCTCCACGCGAAAGCTCTCGAAGAAACGGCGGTTTGGTCTTGTTGAGGGAGGGGGTGGAGGGGCTTCGGGGAATAGTGAGTACAATGAATGCAAGGCAAATTCCAATTATTCTGGATGGCATTGGATGTTGCACGTGGCGAAGGTGATGCCACCGCCGTAGGCTCATGGACAGCCCCTCTTCGATATGTTGCCGGCTTGAGAAAGCTTGGAATGATGACGTTTCGACGCATGGCTACGTGTCATTTGGTTTTTCTGGTGTCATTTGGTTGTGATATTTCGCCATATTCGCCCAAGGTCAAATGTCGTGGACTTGTCGCNAGGCCAGCGGATCAGACAAGACTCCTGAATATTCGAGCAAAACAATCCGAGCCTCTCTTGCACTTGAATGAATTGCTACGATATTGTTATCTACGTGGGACAAGAAAAACGATGTACATCCGCAGGAGCCCCGATTGTGGAGAAAAAGAGTCCCCTTCCCATCCTGGCCCGACAGAATGCCGAAAAGGACAAGCCGGAATGAGGGAACGCGGAGGGAGGAACAAGGTGCAGCTTGAATACAGCTCGGCACAGCAACCAGTAGATCGTCCCTGGCGCCTGTCCTGAAAACAACCGGGTTCTGCAATATTTATTTATTTATTTTTGCCTTCCGACAATTGCAGATGTACCTCAGAAAACTTTCACTTAATGTCTCATACTCTACATGAATATTAAACCAATACGAAGTACAACAACATATGTAGGACTTATTTCTACTGTCATTTACATCGTAAAAGTATCTCCTCTTCAACTTACCAATGACAATCCTGATGGTATCCTATATGCGTTCGTAAGCTTGCTAAAATACTACTGCGTTGATGTCCGCTTGTAAAAGCTGAAATCCAACAAATGCTTTGATCCATGCTACATCTCCGTGTTGGAAAAGCCCTTTCATCTCCGTTCATGATAACATCTTACCCTATTCTACGCAAATCTGTCACATCTACTCTCAAACAAGACGTCAACTTCAAACGAAAACGCGTTCTACGATGCGTCTACACTCCATCCCCATATCATTGGCGTTGACTGGTCCGAGGTCGATCTTGTTCGCCTGTTTTCGGCGTATTCTGAACTACACGAGCATCGACCGCGCTAACCGGCTGACCAATGAAAATACATCAGTCTCGTAGCGGGAGGAAACACGCGAACACGCTCAAGTCAAAAGGGTTTGCGTAGTGGTGT